ACCTATGTCAGGGTTCTACATCCAGGAGTTTAGCTAGTTGCAATTCAAAGTCTCTGTTTATTTATATCTTTTTAATAGTGAGGCACAAATAGTGCTGAGCACTGACACCTCCCAAATTGTGCTCTTGGGCACCTGTCAAATGTATTGCACAAAGAAGATAGCAGTTCATACTTGTTTAACTCCTTCAGTGCCCAGGGCAAACATCTTTCATTTAGAGTGGTAAAAGGTGGGTAATGGCAAACCTGCAGCAAAGCAATATGTAAAGAAGAAGTAACAGTAACTTGTGTGATGGTGTTTGATGCCATGATCTGATGTGGACAGATCTTCCTTATGTATCCACGCTCAAACCCAGCATTGTCATGTGGCCTGCCAATACCTGAGGGGAGCCCAAAAGAAAGAGGGAGAGGTACTTTTTACAAGGGCATGTAGTGATAGGACAAGGGGGAATTGCTTCAAACTGAAAGACACTAAGTTAAGTATTAGGAAGAAATTCTTTACTGTGATAGTGGTGAGATGCTGGCACAGGCTGCCCAGACAGGTTGTGGATGCCCATCCCTGGAAGTGTTCCAGGCCAGGCTGGAGAAAGCAACCTGGTCTAGTAGAAGGTGTCCCTAACCATAAGAGGGGGTTGGAACTAGATGATTTTAAGGTCTCCTCCCACCCAAACTGTTCTATGATTCCATTATTTACTCTCTTGCTGTGTTTCCCACTTGTAGAATGAGAACAGCTTATTTTATCTGACTGAGCGCAGAGGAAGAAAGGATAAATTCAATGAGGAATACAATGCGTGTTGGGGGCATACAAATAGTGAACTATTTGTATGAGAACTTCTGACAAAGATACTACATCTCTCCAGACTGCTTTTTTATAAAACAACCAAGTTCAAGAAAATAAGATACCCCCTGGTCCTCCTGAGGACACAGACAACAGAGAATCATAGAACAGTTTGGGTTGGAAGGACCTTAAAAACCATTTAGTATCAACCCCCAGGCTATGGGCAGGGACACCTTCCATTAGACCACATCATTCAAAGCCCATCCAACATTATCTAGCTTGTCCCTAGATTTCTCAGTGCCAAGAGCTGGAAGGACAGCTGTGTGCTCTTTTTTCCTTCCAGATTAGCAAAACCTACTGGGATAGGAGACTGGAAGTGAGAGGAAAAATGACAAATCAGTAAGTATAATTGTTTCTTTCCTTCTTGAAGATGCTCAAAAGAAACCTTTATTTAGGTAATAAATTGAATTTAGCAATACCTGGAGGAGCCCCTGGCTTATGCTTGGGGCTTTGAGGAATGAAACTAGAACTAGATGATTTATTAAAAAAAGGGGGAGACAACACAAACAAAATGGGAGTGTAACAGCAGCATCTCACCCAGGACTGCAGTGCTGAATGTGGCATCACACTGTAAACAGCTGGTTTTAAATTAATTCTGGTTCAGCACAAGCTTGTTCTCACTGACAGTCTCTCCCATGCTAGGCCAAAACTACAGCTGTGCTGGGGTGTGGGGTGCCTGCCTTTTTTTTTTTTTTTTTTTTTTTTTTCCTGCCAGGAGATTCCAGGGCCTTCAGCCTCTCGGAAACACAAGGGGCATATGGCACACGGCAGAATACTTTAAAATGGCTGGTACTTCTCCACATAGACCTACTGCCCTCCCGTGGCTGCCAAAGAGCATCTCTAAAGCAGAAACTGAAATCAGGGACTGAGGGAAACAATAAAGAAAAATAACTCTATATTCAATTTAAACCAAAACCCAGTTTGTGTTACAAGGAAGAGGAAAGTAAACACAGTGGGATTAACTGGAAGTGCCTATGAAGGCAAGAACAAAGAGCCTGAAGTCAGGTTTGATGAATGAGACCATGAGTATCAAATTAAAGCTGTGTGCTTCTGCAAGGACTATCCTATTTCTGTTTTTTTTCATTATGACTCTGATGCTTCTTCTGTATCCTCTGAGGACAGGGCTCATCTCCAGTCTTTGACACATAGCAGACATTTAAAAACAACCCCAGACCTCCCACCAGAAGTTTCACATGGAGGGGTTGCATTAGGCAGGTTCACTACTACATTTTTGTTCATGGACTTGGCTTCAGTCTTAGACCTTTAAGACTGATGTATGCCTAAGCTACATTTGAGACTAGATGCAATGAAACACTCATTTCAGACTGGAGAGAAGGGGTGAGTGTGAGTAGGATCACACAGGAAAATGCCAACACATGGCACCTCCTACAAGACTTCAGATGTTGAGTGACACCAGCATCAAGAACAGTGTCACCTCAGTGTACCTGGCAGCTGTGCTGTTTCAGAGCATGCAGCAAGTTGACACTGGTGCATGAACACATTAGGCAGACAGATGCTTTGCTAATTCAATTTGCCAGGTCATTGAGTCAGTATGTCATGTAGCAGCCAGCTATGAGTAGGGTGTATCCTGCCCTCTGCATTTCACATCTTAAGCCATGCCGCACAATGTTAGCATCACAAACAGAACTTCATTTTATGCACAGGTGAAAACATCCAAAGAGATGAGAAATCACTCCATGTAATTTTAAAATTTGCATGTCTGTGTGTATATGCACACACAAACACAAATATATATTTGTAGTAAATACATATGAATTTTTATACAATTATAATCACTCCAATATATCCATGATATACTCCTTTCACTCACCAGGACAATATATTCTGTTGCACTGCCAGAATCTCTTGCTCAGTTACCTTTTAAATTAAAATTCTTGTAAGTTCTGCAGAATTGGTCAGTGGAAGACCAGTCTTTGGCAAGCATTTTTCTGCAGAAAACCAGCGGGGATCCTTCAATATGTGAAGGTTCCCCTCCCAGTTTCCTTCAAGTATCAACTCTGCTTTCATAGAAATACAACCCTGATAAGCCAAGCAGGATTTTTCTTTCAGTATATACAAATAATTCATATCCTCTCTACACCATGCAATGCAAAAAGTAAAATCATGTCTCCCAGTGATTTTAGTCCAACTTGGCCCCATAACTGCTTTTGTTAAAGAGAACAAACACAAATAGAAAAAGCAACTCTCACATAAACCTTAAAAATCAGCAAACAAAGCTCTACTGATTTACATTTCCAAAGGAAATACCTTTTAGTAATAGTTAACTCTGTCTACAGTTGTTAAGTCCAAATATTGCAGATGTGAGAAATGAGCACAGAAAGCTAATAAAGAGCAAGAGTTACTGACTTGTCCAGATTGAGAGACACATACACACACCCCCACACCCCTTGTAAAAACCCTTATGCACTTTTTAAAAATTAGTCTGAATCATCTGTGATGTCCTTGTTAAATATCAAAGCAGATGAGCTTGAACAGGTCTACTGGAAAAAGCACTACATAAAAAATGTGTAATTCAAAGCCTTAGCTAAAAAGTATTTCCAGAAATTAAGGTCCATGTCTCTCAATAACATTGCATTATTCACAAATTCTCACACAATGTTACATTTACTGACACTGATCAACTGTCAAAAGAAAACTGAGCTTGTTTGAGTAACAGACACAAGTAAAAAGAAAATAAAAAATAAAATCACAGAACTTCGGCAACTATTGAAAAACTAACTCAAAGAGTAGAAACACAATTATTTTCAATGGTGGACAAAACATAAAGGTTCAGTCTGTCCTATGTATTTTTTACTGATGTCAAGCACTGTGATTTTCTTCATGAACTCACTTGAGGGTGTATAGCTATTCGTACGAGTAATGTAACAACAGACTGAAGTTTGCACCCCAATATTTTGATACAAACTATGACTGGATATTTCCAAAACAGTCCCTTTGACACTAAATAGCTATTTTAATATCTGTAATTAAAAAAATAATCTTTAAACAGTACAAAAACCTAGGTAAACCAAGTCTCAGTCAGTGTAAGTGAGGACCTCTTAATAAAGGGAAGGTAAATCCTCCTTTGGAGTAGTTACAAGAATGCACAGAAATGAGACCAGAAACACACGTAGTAAGTTACAGGTCTGATTTACTGGAGTTGTTCAGTCATTTCCACCTGAGGGTCACTTCAGGATTGTAGAAATGACCCAGAAGAATATTTCCTAAAAAATAAAATGTTGGGAGGAGACGGCAGTATCCGTTTCCACACGCTGAGGATCTGGTGTGCTGGAAGGGGCAGCCCTGCCTCCATCAGCTGCTTGCTGCACTGGTGGATGTGCTTAGAGCCAGGAGCCTGATGTTCCAACCATGACATCCTGTCTGGATCCCTCATGGCTCACCATGTCTAACTAGGGTCAGAATAAACAGGCCTTTGGGGCAACTGCAACAGATGCCAGCATAGGTGTGCACAGCAGCCAGCATAGGAAGTTCAGCCTCACTTCTCTAATGGCTCACACACTGCTCTGTGCATGCTGCCAGCTGTGCTGTTCCAATCACTTGCACCTCACGTTTGCACAACGTGTGAAGACTTAGACATTCTAGAGTATGGTAGAAGACGACTGCAGTTCCAGGGCTAAAACACCTTACACTTAGCTCCTGGAAGATCAGACCCCTCACCTCTCCAGTGCTCCGTGCCACATACAGGTTTCTGTGCTCACAACAGCCACTGTGCACACCAAATAAAATAAAAGTAACACCCTGACATCATCAAGGAGCCAGGCTTTCACCAAGAGTCCTGTGAAAAATCTCAGTTCAACATGTAACTATTAGATTTTTAGTATACGGCAGATCAAGGAATTAGTGTTTTCCTTACGAATATATGGCACTAAGTGTAAAAACTTTATGACCTATTCCAAACATTGTACCATACTTCACAGCAAAGCTTGAAAAAGAATCCTCTAACTCCCACTTCTTCTAAATATACAGCTGGTGGGAGGCCAGGGTGTCCATGAATGGTCGCACAAGGTTGTCCGTCGAGAAGTAGAAGATCAAGCCAAAGGTTATGGAGATGGGAAGAGCAGGCAGTGCTTTCTTAAAAACAGCCAGTAGTAAAAGTGTTAGGCATAAACCCTGTCAGAGAGAACAGAATAAAAAACACAAGGAGATAATAGTAAAACAACCAGAAATAGATCTGTCACCAACAAGCCAACATACAGATAATTATCTAAATGTACTGTAGAGCACTGCAGACTGCCTGAGCTACCAGCAGCAGAATATGTAGGTGCCCACAGCTTCATCTTTCACACAAGTTGGCCATGTTTTTCCTCAGCAATCCTGAGCACAGCTCTCTGCTGAGAAAGTGGTATGAACAGCAAATGCAGAAGTACAGCTGACCCTGAGAGTTTAACTTCTTTACACATTATTTTACTCCTTGTTCTATGTCATTATGAATGAAGTACTGATCCAGCAGACAAAAGCACTTAAATCCTGGTGACCTGCAAATATAGAAGTTCCACCGAAGGTCTCTAATACTTACAACACATTCCCAGTGTACAAGGTCCCTTAGGGTAAAAAAAGAAAGAAAAACAAAAAAACCCAAACCCAAAACCAAATCAAATACCCACTGCTGTTCTTTTGGCTGGATTGCTTATTACAATGGGTGAGTTCTGGTTTTACCTGGATTGCAGGCTAAAATCTGCTTTTTGGAGCATGTGAGGAAGATATTTTATATTCTGGATAGATACTGTGGCTAAGTACCTCTAGATTCCTTCTCTCATCAGAGCCCTTTTCAATTCTTCCATTATGACAAAACTTCAAAGACACTGGCCTCCAAAAATATCCACTAGCTAAAGATCAGCAGACAGGATTTTTTAAATTCTTTTTTTTTTAAATCAGTGTTTCTAGATTGTTCACAATCTACCTGAGCCTGTAGTTCTGTTCTTATTGTTCACAATCTACCTGAGCCTGTAGTTCTGTTCTTATTCTCACGGGGACCATATCTGCCCTACACCTCCTTTTTAAATCTCATCTCCCTTTTAAGATGTGCTTACTGCTGGGAAACTGGGGGGACATTTTTGGGAACCAGAAAGCCACATAGCAGCAAGATTATGAAACTGCAGAAGGAGATGGAATAAGCTTTAAGAGCACCAGAAGAGACACAGGATGGGGCATTTGGCTTCACAAGACAGATGACCAAGAACATTTCCCCCAGGAAAGGGATCCCCCCATGCTGGACTGCAGCATATGGAGTTTGGATCCTGTGGGTTTCTCTGACCTGTGGGGTCAGAAAGCTACCACTGAACAGACTCCAGTGAAGGCAGCTCACTTTTAGTTCTCATGCTTTTTGATACACAGTCTTCACAAGTGACAGTTACTTGCACTGTCCTTGGGATCTAAGTAGGAAAATAGAGGCCCAAGAGGGACACAGTAATTGATTTTCTTTTACATTCTAAATATCCTGCTGTTGTCTTTCTGGTTAATTTCCATGAGGATCTTGAGGCAAACAGCAAGTGCATAGTACTTACTTTCCACTCAGGTTGTGGGAATTCAGGGCTTCCCTCTGGCTGCCTTGGAAGGTCTGGGACCCTGGCAGGGGGTCAGGAACCCCCCTGTACAGAGCCCCCAGAGACACTGTCTCTGATCTCTGTCCATGGAAAAGAGTTTTCAATCTTACAGGATGAATTACAAGCTTGGAGTGTTTGATATGAGTAATAATTATGTGTGTCACGGGCGCAAAAGTAAAATTTTAGGATTCTAGATTAGGAGTTCAAAGGGGACAAGATGGAGGAAATTGGGTGTGTCTTGTCCTTTTTCTCCTTCTTCATGCCCTCCATGTTTCACTGTAGTGTTGGCATTTTTCTATTGGTTTAGGCTGGGGACACACTGTTTAACGTAGATGATAGATATTGGCACATTATTGTAAATATAGCACACGTAGTTTCTGGTATATAATGTTTGCAACATCCCACTGAGGGGCAGAGCCCCACACCTGCCCTGCAGGACAGACCTGCGGCAGGGCAGCAGAACGTGTTAGAGATAAGCAAGAATAAACAACCTTGAAAACAGCACAGATGAATTGTGGCTCCTTCTTTGGCAACGGGGCAGAAAGACAGAGACTTTCTACAATCTCAGAATCATCAATACCTCAGATTCTGACATCAGGTGGAAGCTTAACAGTGTGTCTTCATTAGATCTGGCAGGACCAGCTCTTTAGCAGCTACAGTATGTTAGTCTTCTGCCCTTACTGATAATTTCCATGGATCTAAGTCTTCCTTCTCATTTTTTTCTAGTTCAAATAGTAGAATAAGATAGGTTCTCACCCTCTTATCTATCAGCACCCCTTAGCATAACAGAGTTAACCTTTTCAACTACACTTGCTAATCAGTGTGGAGTTCCTAATATTGACTCTTGTGGCTGAAGCAAACACACCAGCAGTTCCCTGGGGCTGTTTCACCCCCATCGTATCCATGCTTGGCTCTGCTCTGATTAGCCTGGATCATTCTGCTGCAGTGGCTGTCTAAAGCCTAGAGACAGAGCATTCCTAAATACCTAGCAGATTACCTGGACTTACTCAGCAATGCTCAGCTGCTGGTACTTCTGGCAACAATTCTGTGCTGAACAGGGTGTGACAGAGCTTTCAAAAGCTGCTCACTTACTATGAGAATGGCTACAAAGCAGGCCAGTGTGGTATTCCAGTCTCCACTAGCTGTGGCAGCTGCTTTCCCAACAAGCACGCTGTAAAATATGAAGTCTCCAAGGCCCAGCTTCACACCCCCTGAAAGAAGTGGAAAAAGAAAACAAGTGTTAATTCTCAGCCTCCTGTTTTGCTTCCTCCTGAACAAATTCTTGTCCCGTGGGGAGCAGGTAAAAGTTCCTAGTCCTGGCTACAACCTGGACCCACACATTCCTGAGGAGGCTGAGACTTCCAGCCCCTCTTCCCACTAATTGCTTTGTTCTCCCTCATTCTCTGAGGTGCTTCCCTGGGCTGCTTTACAAATGAATCAGCTGAGGAAGCACAAGGACAGAGAAGGACAGGAATCAGGGGGAAGAAGGAACTGTTTAAATTGTACATGTAGCCAACAGATGTCACTGGAATCACAATCCCACAACAGATTCTGCAGCAGCAAGTCAGAATCGAGACCTTCATTGCTCAGCAAGCAACTATTCAAATTAACTGTGATTAGACCAAACTAGGAAACAGCGTTAGCCACAAAGAGTAAAAATGTCAGGCTCTGACTACACTGAAAATAAGGTATAAAGCTTCTCTTACTTTCTTCCTCCTCGAGCTCCTCTAAAGAAGTGGCGGGGCGGGTTGGAACAGGACTCCTTGTCTCTGACATCTGAGACTCTGCCTTGGAAGGGCTCCTGAGGTGTTCTCTCCCATCCTCAGCTTGATTCCACAAAACAGGCCAAGAATGGATTACAAAAAAAAAAAAAAAAAAAAAGAACACAAGAGACAGCTACATTTATAACATGTTTTAGCCCATGAAATCCATACTCCTGTGAGGCTGCCCTGCAGTGGGTAAGCCCTTTGTCTCCTCCACATCAAGAGCAGCTAGGCAGAGACATTTAGGGCTTTGAGGGAAACCTGTGTGTTATTGTTTGGAACAGCTGGCAGTGTCCATGTTCACAGCTTCTCTGGCAGCCACCCAGAAGCTCAATGGCTTTAACAAGTGAGCACGTACACAGACCTAACATTGCTCTGCACAGGGCAGAATGACAAGGCAAACCCACTGAAGCTAATGTGCATTCCCACAGTGTTATACATTTGAGATGGAGGTGCTCAGGTATTCCCTAACCAGTCATATAACAAAAATGGATGACTAAGAGGACTGCCATTTGTGAGGGAAGTCCTGAATCACGCTGACATTCTTGGAGACTGTTCACATGTAGAAAGCAGACACATTTCGTTGTCCACAAATTTAACTTTTTTCCCCCCTCTGTTAAAGCACATCTGACAGAGCCTTTGGCAGTACTTTTGGAAGCAGACAGTCTGTGATAAATGACTTTATCCGACAATTCCTATTTTTCAGAAGCTCCTACAAACTCTTCAGTCCATGTCAGTTTGACAGGTTGCTGCTGCTGCAGGTGCAAGCAGACTGTGATCTGGGACACACAGCTTCCACAGAGCATTCTGTACGCCTCAGCATGTAGTCTGTGCCTGCTCTGTGCCCTGTTTCCTGCCCAGCAGGATTGTGTCCCTGCCATTCAGCTGCTATGTCAGCTGCTTCATCTTGAAATAAGCAGCATGTTTAGTTATCCAGCCTTTGCACACATTTATTGCATTAACAGTCAAAAGTACTGTCATCTCTGAAGTGCAAAAGGGCTAGATGGGAAATCCTCCCAAAACCACATGTAAGACTTTATTCAATCACCTTAAAACTGCAGTTTAATTTGCATCTCAAGAAGATAAAAGCAATGGCACCCAAATTACTGCAGAACCAACTACAATGTAAACTTGAATCACAAAAGCTATTGGTCAGTAACTATCTTAACACAAGGCTTTACCCAAGGGTAAAAACATTTATTTTCTTTAGCAGGGTGAGCCATATTGCACTTACAGAGAGGTGCTCCACGGCACTGGTCTGAATGCAACACTGAAGTTCACCAGCTCATCAGTATTATATTTAGGAGCCTATGTTGTACTTTTCCATCCCCAGTATGGAAAACTATAACCCCCCACTAGTACACTTTCAGCTTTGACTTCAGTACACTGAAGTTGTGAGTTGACCAACCCTTCTGTTTGATTTGTTGTCTGTTTGGGTTTTTTTTTAAATAAAAGTGGCTTGAATACTGGAGCTTCCTACACTGTCTGCTCAGTTTTGTTGCTAGTCCTAACAGCAGGTTTATGAACATCACTGAGTTCTGCTAGAAACAACACTGAAAAAAATTCATCCATCAGGATTTGGGGGCTTATGTTTACACTCAGTCTCAAACATATTCATTATTTCTGTAGGACAGTGCTCTGCATGAGAGAGAGATGTGTAAACAAACCTGCATCCCATGTCTGCTGACTTGGTCCTCTAGCTGCTGTGTCTGGCTTTGCCATTCCAACTGTCCACATCATAGCAGCTGGAAGAAAGAAAGCAATCAGCTGCATAAAACATTGGCCACTATAGCTCAGAGGAAATAAGTATTTAGCTGTCCCTAAAAATACAAACCCTTGCCCCTGTAAACGCTTCTAAAACACTCAGTTGTTTTCCCTAGACACTGAGACAGCAAGGTGGGAGAAAGCCAAGGCATTGCATCCATTCAGTTTTTAAAAAGTCCCAGCGCACAAGTAGCTAAGAGTCTCTTCTCTGTGGATTAAGGAAAGCAAAGTTCCAGAAACAGGGTCCTCAACTCCTTTGGTTTCTTCCTGATTTCTGGCTCTTCTCTTCAAAGAAAACAATTTCCCAGGGAATGATGGTAATACAAAAGGTAACCAGAGGTTAACTAACACAGTTTACTCGTGTTCTGCTAAAGGTACAGCACACAAGTGAGGGATTACAGGAGTTGTCAGAATGCAAGCTTTCTCTCTGCCTGTTGCAGCTTCATCCTTTCAAAATATTGCACATTTCTGTTTTGGTTCCAATAGCAACTGATGTTTGGGGGTTTATTCCTGGGATCCCTAAACTGAAAAGGAATACAAGCCATTCCAAAATCAGCAGAAGGGAACTAAAATCAGCTTTTTATTTAAGTGTGCACTAGTCTCTCTGATTTTATAGAAGCTAACCTAAACAAAATAAGCCAAGCCAAACACGGTGCCTGCTTTTCCATGATGAGCTCAGCCTAGATGATGTTTTTGCATCTAGAGGGAGCCACAGAATGTAGTCTTGCAATGGAGACACTGATATTCTGCACAAGAACTTTGTGTTCAGTATTTATTATTTACTGAACTGCATTATCCTTTAAGGAAGCTCTTGTTTATTAACAAAAGCATGTGAGAGACTTTACCTAGATTGTCTCAGGTCAGTGTATCAGAATCTCCTGTAAAAGGGAAGGCACCTGAGGTGAACTGAGACTCTACTTGGAACACATAAAAGCATTTACATAACATTAAATGCTTGAAGAAAAAAAAATCAGTCAGGCTGTAGGCATCCTCAGCTTAGCACCAAACATTTGGGAATAACCCTTCATCTTCCAAGTGATGCAATGAAAAAGCCACTGAGGTCCATGAAGGTCCACTTGAGTTCAGGTCCCATGAGTGTTGAGTCTTCTGCCTTCCAACAATCTTATCTTAGGCACATGGATACTTCTGGACTAGGGAACCAGACACCATGGTAGTTAAACAGCCCAAGAAAGCCAGGGGAGAGATGACTGATTCTGTTTGCAGAGCAGTACTTTCCAGGAGCCCTTTGCAAAGTGAGGAGCCAAATAATGAACGATAAAGCAAATACATTGTAAGCACTGCCATCTGTACAGTATAGACAGCATGAATAAATGTATTGAGTGAGCATCACCTCATCACAGAACTTGGCAAAAACTCACACAGGGTTTTGTGTGCATAAAAAAAGAGCTATATTAATGAACGGATAAATCTGTTTCTGAATATCCAGCTTTGCAAGGTAATGGTGGGCTCCCTTGGCTAATTACAGTTACCAACATTGTAACTGATAAACAAGGCCTGCTACAAATTGCAGAATTTAATTGGACACAATTCTTAAGGCAAGAAGTAGCTAAGTGATC